CTTCCTTCGTTTTGTCTTTTTGGTTTTCCGTCCTTTTCTTTTCATTCGCATTCTGCGTTTGCTTTTCATTTTTCTTCTCCTTTTCATTTTTCTTCGTTTTTCTTTACTTTTTCTTTTCTTTTCTGCTAATTGTCGTTTGCGATCTTGGCGAGTGGTATGAGATATACTGTTTCTATCAAGGTTATCTATAATACCCTCTTTTAAAGAAAGATATTCTTCATATGTCATGTTATCGTGGTCCTCTTTTGTCCTAAAGACCTTACATGGATATGATATAGAGGAGGGCTCTTCTTCGGGAACATCCTCCCCCTTACTTTGTAACATCCAGTCATTAAGCCCATATCCGTTATCCTGGTGATAATAAGGGGAGGCTATATCAGACTTGGTTTTTCTCAGATTCATGGCTACTTTCAACGGTCGTCTTAGTGGGGGTCCTTAGTTTTATATGATTTGCTGAGTGGGATGGGACTTATTGCGTTGAGTGGGAGGAGTCATCTGTAGAAAGTACTCTGTTTTATTAGATTCCGTAAAAAGCATCTGACTCTTAATAGCAGTTTGTGATTTTGAGGCTATTTCAGTGAAACAAGGCTGTTTTTGAAACATTTGGCAGATTTATGCTTAAATTCTCTGAGAAAGTTACTGAAGGATACACTTTTGTGTATAAAAGCTGAAAAGTAGATAATGAAGTACTTTGTGTCCGTAGATTTTGTTAAGAATCTGACTCTTAATGGTCCTCTCTAAATTTGATTCAGGGTTTGTTTGAAATGATTTGTGCTTTGTGTGTACAGACACACAGAAAAACACTGAAAAACACAAAAAGAAGGACTGTAATACACATGTATCAGACACGCTCCCCCTGGCTATAATGAAGACAACAGTTTTTAAATGTAAAAAACACTTTTTTATTTTTCACACCCAAAATCAAATAGTTATACTGATTGCAACATCCGCAGGACCGTCTCCAGCTTAGAGTTCCCCATATGACTGGAGATATCGTGATGGAGTTTTTTCACTTCAGTCAGAATATTCATGTGTATGCTGCTTTCTGCACAGAGATACATTACATCTACAAACAGAGCATACACTGAGAGCACATGATACACTTTTGATGTTTGTTTCATTTCTGAGATAATGTTACAGAATGTTTCGGAAAATGAAGATTCCAGGACCACTTTAAATGTTTCGTTTACAATCGTTTCCCAATGACCGGGGATAGTACTGCCAGAACGCACGATAGCCAAAATGTCTTCTAGTTTACAAACTTCAGCCATTCTGTTTACACAGGGGTCACTACTCATTCTGTTTTCAATCGTCCTCATCACCACACTTATTAAAAGGGTATTGACTACATTCTGATCAATATATACAGAGCGTTTTGCATAGTAGTTTCCCATTTTTATTTTACTTTAAAGAAAAAAGTCCCTGGCTTCAGTCAACTGCTGGTTATTAGTCTTCTTCTTCTCCCCCCACTCGGCATGGATCTTTTCAAGTCTCTCCTTGAGGCGTCTGCAGTTTGTGATTTTGAGACTTTTTACAGACACTCTGCAGATTTATGTGTAATTCTCTCACAAAGGAAACAGTAAGTCTCTTACTTTTTTTATATGTAAGACAATTTACAACTGGTAGAAAGTTAAGTACTTTTTCTGACCAGATTTTTCTTTAAGACTGTGACTCTTAACACACCAGAGAGCCAAAACATACTCACCTCCTTTTCAACGCCCTCCCCCCAGCAGCTCAGGTGTGAAACCCTCATACAGAATGTCAGTCCCTGTGTAAAACTTTTTAGTGACACTCTGCAGATTTGTGTGTAATTCTCTCACAAAAGGAACTGTAAGATACACTTTTTATGTATGCAAAAACTGATAGAGGAGTCGGTATGTTAATGTGGCGACAAATGTTCCCCTTTCTGCTCTGTACACTGTTTCGATGAAACACAGCAGTCTTGATAACTTGACATGACTAACATTACTTTTCTAAAATATATGTTTTTAGAAGCGTTACTTTGATTTCAAGGCTGTGATGGCGAGAGTTTAACAGTCAATGGCATCAAGATGGTGCTCAAGAAGGACATTGTCATCCACCTTATTGATCAAGTGCTCATGCCAGACTCAGGTTAGACTTGCACATTTTCCCCTTATGAATGATTACCCGATTTACTACATATATTGTTTTTCTGTAATCCATATTTTTAATGGTGTTTAAATTCCCTCAAGCTAAACAGGTGATGGAACTGGTTGGAAGTTCCCCGTCAACCTTTGGAGACATGGTGTCTGAGCCAGGCCTTTCTGCTTCCATGCAATCTGCCGCTGAGTACACTTTGCTTGCCCCCTCAACACTGTCTTCAATGGTGAGTAACATACTGGTGATTAAAAAAAAAAAAGCACGCCCCTATTTAGTTGATGGCTGAAGACAAAGCCTGGGTCCATTCTCTAGACTCTATTCTAGTCACATTCTGGAATAATTGGTGATATTTAGATTTGTTTTGTATTTACCCCTCATGTGCTGAGTCATTAGTCAATATGTGTAAATGTATGGAGCTTTAGGGAAACTATACATTTATTGGCACACTGCAGAAGCTTTATGCCATGTAACAGCAAGTGTCCACTCCCCCCCCCCGAGAACATTCCTGGACTTCACCCAAAGGGAGTAGAGATGATTTGTTTTTGCATTAAGAACGACAGAGAACATTTCTCCAAAATGTCTAACTACTAATTATTGTCGTCTTTCTTGAAACTGACGTGCTTAAATTCTCTGAGAAAGTTACTGAAGGATACACTTTTGTGTATAAAAGCTGAAAAGTAGATAATGAAGTAGATTTCGTTAAGAATCTTTGACAGATTTATGCTTAAATTCTCTGAGAAAGTTACTGAAAGATACACTTTTGTGTATAAAAGCTGACAAAGTAGATAATGAAGTAGACTTTGTGTCCGTGTGAAACCCCATACAGAATGTCAGTCCCTGTGTTACAACTTTTTAGTGACACTCTGCAGATTTGTGTGTAATTCTCTCACAAAAGGAACTGTAAGATACACTTTTTTATGTATGCAAACGTCTTTCTTGAAACTGACGTGCTGACCGTTTTACAAAACAAGTTATGTTTTCTGCTTTTTCATCCTCTGAATTTAAATGTGTGTGTGTGTGTGTGTTCCCCCCTCCCCATCGCCCTACCATTTGCCTGCAGAGGATGTCGGGGGGGTTTATGACGTGTCCTAGCTTGTCTTCAGACTGTTTCACCAAACTTTTCACGGCAGAGAATAGCAGAGAGAGAGAGTTAGTGAGATTGACAGTACTTTTAAAAATATATGGTTGTATATTTCTTGTTATTTGCAAGTATGTGTAAGTTACAGTCAATACTGCTGTATACAGGCGCACAGGAAGTGACTAGGTGGCAGGGACATTGATCCTATGCATATGTGATTCATTATAAAATTATTATTTTGTAAAACCGTAGGGGCAGCATTTTATTTTCTCCTTGTTATTTGCAAGTATTTGTAAGTTACAGTCAATACTGCTGTATACAGGGGCACAGGAAGTGGTTAGGTGGCGGGACCTTGCTCTTTAGAGCTGAGACATTACTTTTAAAATATATGGTTGTATATTTCATGTTATTTGCAAGTATTTGTAAGTTGCAGTCAATACTGCTGTATACAGGCGCACAGGAAGTGACTAGGTGGCGGTGTCTCGCAGATTACACCCATATCAAGACGTCTCTTGGCCATTTCTCTCGACTTGAGAAAATATTGAAGAGTGAGAAAGACGAATGGCTCTTATTTATCTAACCCTAACGGATGAGGGGTGAGTGGTGGGGGGTGTGTGTGTGTGTGTGTGTGTGTGTGTGTGTGTGTGTGTGTGTGTGTGTGGGTGTGTGTGTGTGTGTGTGTGTGTCCCCTCCCCATCGCCCCACCATTTGTCCCGCAGAGGATGTCGGGGGGTTTTATGGTCCCCACACCTGTCTTGACTGTTCATCAAACTTTTCACGGCAGAGAATAGCAGAGAGCGAGAGAGAGTTAGTGAGATTGACAGTACTTTTACAAATATATGGTTGTATATTTCTTGTTATTTGCAAGTATTTGTAAGTTACAGTCAATACTGCTGTATACAGGGGCACAGGAAGTGGTTAGGTGGCGGGACCTTGCTCTTTAGAGCTGAGACATTACTTTTAAAATATATGGTTGTATATTTCATGTTATTTGCAAGTATTTGTAAGTTACAGTCAATACTGCTGTATACAGGGGCTTATGGAGGGGGCGGGGCTTATGGAGGCGGGACTTCCGGCGGAAGGGGGCGGGGCTTAGAGGTGTGACCTGTCACTTTCTATGCATACTAATGAGATTGAAGTGGTATGTGTATAACTACTGTTGTAGACAAAGTTATTTTACACGTATGATTAAAGTTAAGGATTTTCTTTTCTATAATATTATGGACGATTTATCTGTTTGTTTTTTTACCTCAAGCAGTTGTTCCACTAAGTTAATCTTTAGAAATGCATTATTATTAGATAAAGCTGCCTAAAGTGGCTTATTTCAAACACTAAACTTGGATGAAAGTGCCAGGGTTATATTTCATACCTGTTTTTTGACAGGATCTGAATACTTCTAATGCCTAAGTTTGTTTATGATTTAAAGGGGTCTTAATTTCAATCGGATAGACGTTATTTAAGTGCTTTTTATCAAACTATATCCTTACTTGATTTGAGCTGAATCATGATATTGATTCTCTCAGAATGAGTGTTGAAATTAAAATATATTATTACATTGAAATCAAATTGTTCATGACAATTTAATGTTTTTTACTAAATGGCCATAAAAACATCTCCCTTGAAGACATGCATTATTTGGCCCGTGTTCAAGGAAACTCATGTCAAATCCTGTCTCTTGAAATCTCTCAAAATGGAATCTATAGCTATGTTCCTTCTCACATTCAACACTTATATATTCCACTGTATTATGACAGACTATGAATGATACCTGCTTCTGCTCTGCTGTGTTCCTCAGCACCTGAAGAGCAACCTGATGCATCAGTTGGACGACCACGTGAACGACTTCATGGACAGTCTGATGGAGGAGTCGTCCAGCCTGGAGTCTGCTCCTCTTCCCGCCTCCTTCTCCCCCCCGCTGTCCGACAAGGAGAGGAGCAAACTCAGGTGCCTTTGCTCTCCTTCCACCCTGCAGAGGTGGGAAGTAGTGGAGTACAAATACTTTGTTACTGTATTTCAGTACATGTTTCTGGTATCAGTACTTTACTCCACTACTTATTACTTTGACTTCTTACATTTCTAACACAAATACCTGTACTTTCTACTTCTCACATGTTGAACTCAAATACCTGTACTTTCTACTTCTCACATGTTGAACACAAATACCTGTACTTTCTACTTCTCACATGTTGAACTCAAATACCTGTACTTTCTACTTCTTACATGTTGAACTCAAATACCTGTACTTTCTACTTCTCACATGTTGAACACAAATACCTGTACTTTCTACTTCTCACATGTTGAACTCAAATACCTGTACTTTCTACTTCTTACATGTTGAACTCAAATACCTGTACTTTCTACTTCTTACATGTTGAACACAAATACCTGTACTTTCTACTTCTTACATGTTGAACACAAATACCTGTACTTTCTACTTCTTACATGTTGAACACAAATACCTGTACTTTCTACTTCTTACATGTTGAACACAAATACCTGTACTTTCTACTTCTCACATGTTGAACTCAAATACCTGTACTTTCTACTTCTTACATGTTGAACACAAATACCTGTACTTTCTACTTCTCACATGTTGAACTCAAATACCTGTACTTTCTACTTCTCACATGTTGAACACAAATACCTGTACTTTCTACTTCTTACATGTTGAACACAAATACCTGTACTTTCTACTTCTTACATGTTGAACACAAATACCTGTACTTTCTACTTCTCACATGTTGAACCCAAATACCTGTACTTTCTACTTCTTACATGTTGAACCCAAATACCTGTACTTTCTACTTCTCACATGTTGAACTCAAATACCTGTACTTTCTACTTCTTACATGTTGAACCCAAATACCTGTACTTTCTACTTCTTACATGTTGAACCCAAATACCTGTACTTTCTACTTCTTACATGTTGAACCCAAATACCTGTACTTTCTACTTCTTATATGTTGAACCCAAATACCTGTACTTTCTACTTCTCACATGTTGAACTCAAATACCTGTACTTTCTACTTCTTACATGTTGAACTCAAATACCTGTACTTTCTACTTCTCACATGTTGAACTCAAATACCTGTACTTTCTACTTCTTACATGTTGAACTCAAATACCTGTACTTTCTACTTCTTACATGTTGAACTCAAATACCTGTACTTTCTACTTCTCACATGTTGAACTCAAATACCTGTACTTTCTACTTCTCACATGTTGAACTCAAATGCCTGTACTTTCTACTTCTTACATGTTGAACTCAAATACCTGTACTTTCTACTTCTCACATGTTGAACACAAATACCTGTACTTTCTACTTCTTACATGTTGAACACAAATACCTGTACTTTCTACTTCTTAAATGTTAAACTCAAATACCTGTACTTTCTACTTCTTACATGTTGAACACAAATACCTGTACTTTCTACTTCTTACATGTTGAACTCAAATACCTGTACTTTCTACTTCTTACATGTTGAACTCAAATACCTGTACTTTCTACTTCTTACATGTTGAACTCAAATACCTGTACTTTCTACTTCTTACACGTTGAACACAAATACCTGTACTTTCTACTTCTTACATGTTGAACTCAAATACCTGTACTTTCTACTTCTCACATGTTGAACACAAATACCTGTACTTTCTACTTCTTACATGTTGAACACAAATACCTGTACTTTGTACTTCTTACATGTTGAACTCAAATACCTGTACTTTCTACTTCTCACATGTTGAACTCAAATAACTGTACTTTCTACTTCTTACATGTTGAACCCAAATACCTGTACTTTCTACTTCTTACATGTTGAACTCAAATACCTGTACTTTCTACTTCTTACATGTTGAACTCAAATACCTGTACTTTCTACTTCTTACATGTTGAACTCAAATACCTGTACTTTCTACTTCTCACATGTTGAACTCAAATACCTGTACTTTCTACTTCTTACATGTTGAACCCAAATACCTGTACTTTCTACTTCTTACATGTTGAACTCAAATACCTGTACTTTCTACTTCTCACATGTTGAACCCAAATACCTGTACTTTCTACTTCTCACATGTTGAACACAAATACCTGTACTTTCTACTTCTCACATGTTGAACTCAAATACCTGTACTTTCTACTTCTTACATGTTGAACACAAATACCTGTACTTTCTACTTCTCACATGTTGAACTCAAATACCTGTACTTTCTACTTCTCACATGTTGAACACAAATACCTGTACTTTCTACTTCTCTCATGTTGAACTCAAATACCTGTACTTTCTACTTCTTACATGTTGAACTCAAATACCTGTACTTTCTACTTCTCACATGTTGAACTCAAATACCTGTACTTTCTACTTCTCACATGTTGAACACAAATATCTGTACTTTCTACTTCTTACATGTTGAACCCAAATACCTGTACTTTCTACTTCTCACATGTTGAACACAAATACCTGTACTTTCTACTTCTTACATGTTGAACTCAAATACCTGTACTTTCTACTTCTTACATGTTGAACCCAAATACCTGTACTTTCTACTTCTCACATGTTGAACACAAATACCTGTACTTTCTACTTCTCACATGTTGAACTCAAATACCTGTACTTTCTACTTCTTACATGTTGAACACAAATACCTGTACTTTCTACTTCTCACATGTTGAACTCAAATACCTGTACTTTCTACTTCTCACATGTTGAACACAAATACCTGTGCTTTCTACTTCTTACATGTTGAACTCAAATACCTGTACTTTCTACTTCTCACATGTTGAACCCAAATACCTGTACTTTCTACTTCTTACATGTTGAACTCAAATACCTGTACTTTCTACTTCTCACATGTTGAACTCAAATACCTGTACTTTCTACTTCTTACATGTTGAACTCAAATACCTGTACTTTCTACTTCTTACATGTTGAACACAAATACCTGTACTTTCTACTTCTTACATGTTGAACTGAAATACCTGTACTTTCTACTTCTTACATGTTGAACTCAAATACCTGTACTTTCTACTTCTTACATGTTGAACACAAATACCTGTACTTTCTACTTCTTACATGTTAAACTCAAATACCTGTACTTTCTACTTCTCACATTTTCCTAAAGTGTATCTACTGTGTGTTTCCCTTCAGGTATTTCCGGCCTCCTCATGGTGAGGGGAAGCAGTTCGTCAGTCGCCGGTCCCTCTTAGAGTAAGTCTGTGATCTGAGATAAATATATATAATGGAGACAGAGGAGACAGAGGAGTAGAAGCACTGTTGGGTCTTTGTGGTGATCAGCTACAGGCGCTTTCACTACTTATTTAATCTTGTGAAAGGCTCCTTGCAAGGAGGAATGTGCTCCCATTCAACAACAACTTAAAATACATGAACAGTTAGGGAAAAGAAGGAAGATGAACACAAGATTATAGCAGGCTTAACAAAGCTAAACACAAAACTGGCAATGAATAAACCATCAGTAAGTATATGACAGTGTTAGATTGTTCCAAAATGATCTATTTCACAGACTCAAATTAAGTACGCATAGCATTTTCAGAAAAGATCCTTTAAGGTTTGTGCAAGTTTGAATTCGCCTTTAACACATGTGGCAATTATGTATTTGCATTGCAACTAACACAGGTCTGAACCAGAATCAGAAATCCTTTATAGAGAGGCGAAGTCCCGCCCATCTACTTCCACCCCATTATTTCTGAAAAAGTTTGTATTGAAGTCGATGGAGAGAGAAAGATTATCTCTCGATCCCGTTTGAATTGTGCCACGAATTAGACATATGATGTTTGTCAATCTTAAAACATAATTTTCATGTCAAAAAAGTCACAGTTTGTCGTAAAACTGTTGAAATAAAAGACTATGAAAAATACGCAACTAGAAAGACTACAAATCCCAGAGTCCCGGTCCCGCATGCTGGCTCTCACGGAACCGACTAGCTCTCCTTGTGTGTATGCACAGCTCTCAACGTGCCCAGACTTGGAGTGATTTCCACCTCTTTTAATACTTTCCGCCTCGTTCTGAGAGAAAGAAGTGAAATGTTCAACGTGACGGCCGTCTGGGTGTGTGGAGCGAAACGGGAGTTTCACACTAACAAAGTGTCACAGTTTTACGACATATTCTTATTTTTTTGACTTGCAAAATGATCTTTTAAATGGACAAACATCATGTGTGTGATTCGTGGCACAATTCAAACGGGATCAAAAGATAATCTCTCTCTCTCCATTGACTTCAATGCATACTTTTCAGAAATAAGGTCCGATGGAGGGAAGGGAGGGACTTCGCCTCTCTATAGTCCCACAGCGGGGAAGTGTACATCGTTACAGCAAAATATTTAGAATTGTGGAGTTGCAAAGACATCGCAGCCTTCAAATTCTATTCTAGATACTTAAAACATTGTTTGTTTGTTTCCTCTTAAAATGTTTAACTTTGTTTATTGGGTTTTTTCAGCAGCATAAAGTTATTCTGTCAGAGCATGTATCAAAAGTAGGTAACAATGTAAATACTGCTTAACGAGTAGTAGGTTTTTTGTTGTGGACCCTGAAGGCAGCATCTCAAGGGCTCCCTCATGTTCTCAGTGTATCTGCTCAGATTCTGATCACATGCTTCTGTGTGTCCTCAGCGAGCTGTTTGAGGTGAACCACATCAGGACCACATGTTCATCGCTCTGCTCATCCTCTTCATCCTCAGCACGCTGGTGGTGGATTTCATCGATGAAGGCAGGTAAAGTCTGCTGTGTGTAATGTCTTGATCTCAAATGATCAGATAATCATTTAAAACATACTCTGATTGCCTTTTACTCGGTTACATTGTTTGTCTTGTATGAGTTTAACAGAGACATATGTTTAGGATTTACATTTCAGGAGGCAAAGGAAGTAAAAGGTAGATTTGCAAATGGTTAAGGACGGGGGGGTTTAATGGGTTAATGTCATTCAAAGTGCTTTACAAAAATGAAAACATTGAAACAAAATGCATCCCCCCCCTCCTCCGCCTCAGGCTGGTGCTGCACTTTGAGCTGCTGGTGTATGCGTTCGGACAGCTCCCCCTGGTGGTGTGCACGTGGATCTGCATGTTCCTATCGGTTCTGCTGGTTCCCTACAGTCTGTTCCACCTGTGGGCTCAGACCCAGAGGGGGTCTCACCCTCAGTTCTGCAGCTTCCTGTTCGGCTCGGTGTTCCTGCTCTTCCAGGCGCTGGCTGTTGGCTTCCTGCCGACGTTTGTGGTTCTGACCAACAGCTTCCCCCCGCCTCCTGCTTCATCGTCATCCTGGAGCAGGTGAGAAGAGAGATGTCAGACTGTCCATCTGCTGGGAGAGGGATTGTACTCTGAGGTTTTTAAAAATGTTCTTTGGGAGTTTTTTTATAGCTCCCTGACTGATCTGTGATTTGTGATATTGGGCTAAATAAATAAAATGTGATTACTTGATTGACTTATCATCGTCTGTATGTAATGCAGTCTTACGTTCTATTGCAGTTAATTGTGTGCAGTTTAATGTTAAATGGCTACTAAGTTATTCTTGATTAATGACTTTAAAGGTCCCATGTCATGCTTTTCTGGTTGTTACCCGTCCCCTCGTGTGTTATGAAGGTTGTTCTGCATGTAAACGGTCTGCAGAGTCACAAACCCTCAAAGTGCACCCTGTAGCGAGTAAACCTCTAACACAGAGAAGACCTGTCTGTGCTCTTTTTCCATTTGTTTCTTCCGGGAACCAAGCGACGTAACGACGACCCCTCCGTGGATTGGTCAAAATAGACCAATCCGTGGAGCCGTTACATTACGTCTGCGGAGCCGCTTCCTCACACACACACACACACACACACACACACACACACACACACACACACACACACACACACACACACACACACACACACACACACACACACAAAATCTTTTCTCAGCTGCAGCTCCGCCGATTTCTCCTCCCTGAGACGGCGGGCTGCGGCGAGGCTGTGAGTCGGTGTGTGAGCACACACACAAACTCCCAGCCAGGCTGCGGGTGTGTGTGTGTGTGTGCGTTCGGGCTGGTTTAGCTGTGTCTCGCAAACCAATGAGATTTTGGAACAATGTAAATCTATTCTAGTAGACCTCAACAATGGAAATATGATCAGTAGAAATGGCCATGACATGAGACCTTTAAATTGTGCTATGCTTATATTCACTAGGAATGTGTATTAAAGTATTTTTTAGTATTAATAGTATAATATTACTACTGTTGTCATGTTAGAAACTGTTATTGCTCACTTGACTGATCTAAAAGCACTAAAAGTTTGATAAATGATAAATACGCATGATGTCAAAAGGCTTAAAGATTGTTATTTAGTTCAGTATAAAAAGTATGTTTACAGCGTCTTCGTCAGTTTCTATTTTCACCTATTTTATCCAATCAACCTGTATTTACATTTGTTGGTGAAGAGAAGGTGTTTAGCCGAGATATTCAAGAGCCGCTCAGCTTGTATTAGTCCCAAAGCAATGTTCTTACAGCAGCCACGAGGTCGATGCATGAGCAAGAGGGACTACAGAAGTCCTTCATTATTAACTTAAAGAAAGGCAAGATATAATAAATACATGATCCGTCTGTAACAGCAGTTCTGTTTTATTATTTGTGAAACTGCAGGTGCGTCTGATGATGAAAGCCCACTCCTTCGTCAGAGAGAACGTCCCACGAGTCCTGAGCTGGGCTAAAGAAAAAAACAGTACGTACCTTTCAGAGACGGCTGTGTGTCCTTTAGTATCCTAAAAAGACTTAAAAGGCTTTACATTGAATAATATTACAGATTACAATGTCTTAATTCAACGTCACAAGAGTGGTCCGAATTATAAGGGGAGGTCATTTGGTTCTGTATTCTTTATTTTCCCAATTCACATAAACGTTTTGCAGATCTGGATAGCAGGACAAAATTGTACTTGAAATAAAGGGAACTGGGCCTGGAAAGTCCTTGAATCAAATGTTTAAGAAGGTGTGGGAACGTTGACATCCTTACATTTTAAAAAGTATACATAATGACTCGTCTCTCCTCTATAGGCCCCGGCCCTGTGGTGCCTCAGGTCTCTCAGTATCTCTACTTCCTGTTTGCACCCACTCTCATCTACAGAGACAAATACCCCAGGTAACACTATTCATAATGTTATCTCCTCACAGCAGATCATGTGTTTGATCAAACCTTATTTCTCTCTTAACGCAGGAACCCGGTGATCAGGTGGAGCTACGTGGCTTCAAAGTTCCTTCAGGTACCTCTTTCATATTTTAAAGTTAATAATAATAATACAAAATGATATTTATATAGCGCTTTTCATGAACTCAAGGACGCTTTACATCAGGGGCGTCAAACTCAAGGCCGTGAGCCAAACCCGGCACGCAACCTCATTTGATGCGGCCCCGCAAGAGCTTGTAAAGAATATAATACGTTTATTATACGGTTACGTGCCGCTTTACAGGAGCATGTTGCCCATAAACTACATCTCCCACAATGCACCTTGTTTTGTGACATGCTCACTCAAGAGACTTGCAATTATTTGCCCTAGACTTCTGCTTTCAGACTTTAATTATGAAGTTATTACCCTATCTGATAATAATCCAATGCAGAGACAATAATGTAATTTAATACTTTATTTTATATATATTAAATATATGTATTTTTATATAGTCTTAAAGTTACAACCGGCCCTTTGAGTGCAACCTTAATGCTGATGTGGCCCGCGATGAAATTGAGTTTGACAGCCCTGCTTTACAGGGTAAGGGAGGGTGGACAGACAAGGACAGTCAACAGGAAATTCATTGGGGGGGGGGGCTTATGTCTCGATTATTTGGGTCAATAATTGATATATCACGATTATTAAAAACGATTATCCATTTACTTTGAAAACATCCATTTATTGGAGACATTTTTTTTGAACATTATGTTTTTAACAGTTGATTTCCCTGAACTTTAAGAATAATTCAACTGAAAAAACAATACCAAAAAAATTGAATTACGTTGTTTTCGTAATCGTTGCAAGCCATAATCGTAATTGCGAATAAAATACGATTAATTGAGCAGCCCTAGGCTTATGGGTAGACAGAGGTGAAGAGATGGGTTTTGAGGCGAGACTGAAAGACTGTGAGGGACTCAGAGTCACGAAGATCTTGGGGGAGGGAACTCCAGAGCCTAGGAGCTGCCACTGAGAAGGCTCTGTCCCCAAAGCTGCGGAGTTTGGATGTGGGACTGGATAGGAGACCGGCTGCGGTGGATCTGAGGGACCGTGGGGTGAGAAGGTTGGTGAGATATGGGGGGGGGGGGGGGCAGATGGTGGAGGGCTTTGTAGGTGAGGACCAGCATTTTGCAATTGATGCGGTGGGAGACAGGAAGCCAGTGAAGGTCTTTGAGGACTTGGGTGATGGGATGCTATGATTTGGCACCCGAAAAGACCCCAGACTCTATGATCATGACGGACCCCCCCTCTCCCTCAGGTGCTGGGCTGTCTGTTCTATGCGTACTACGTGTTCGTGCGGCTCTGCATCCCTCAGTTTCGCAGCAGCAGCCGTCAGCTGTTCGACCTCCGAGCCATGGTGCTCTGCGTCTTCAACTCCATCCTGCCCGGTAACACCCGACCATCTTAGTTCTCTATCGGTGTTTTTCAATTGTTGTTTTATTTTTATGAATGCTCCACGACACCAAGTCAAATTCCTCGTATGTGTCAACCTGCCTGGTGATAAACCTGTTTCTGATTCATCAACACATAACATTTCATTAACCACCTTCATGCCGTGTCAAACTACCTCACTTTTGGTTTATTGCTCAGAGACGTTTTTATAGGAGCCTTTAAATGTGGTCAAGTGAACTGGTCTCACTCCTGAAACACAACTCTTAATGGTAAATATGTTTATATCTAGCGCTTTACCAGTCTCTACGACCACTCAAAGCAATGTACATACTTCAAGTCATCATATAATATGAGTCCGATGTGTGCAAGACAAGAGAGGTTTGGGCCTCCTCTGCCTGCAGTGTAAAGATAAGATCAGAGATTGCACACAAGTTGAAATTAAAAGAGTAAAAATAAACAATTATACAATTTTAAACATATCAAAATAGAAATAAACCAACATTCAAAAGTAGAAAATATACGTTAAATATAAATGTAGAATGTACAGTGTGAGTTAAAGTCCAGTTAACCAGAGACAGCTGTGATCCACATGCAAATGATGTATCTAATATATCATTCCATGCACGTGTCTATAGACTCTCTTGCACTATTTCTATTCTATTTTTATTGACTTGCACATCTCAAAACATTCTCTTGCACTATTTGATGTGTTCTCATATTGCACTGTTAGAGGAGCCTTGAGTCTTGAGATAAAAGCCTTGAGTCTTGAAACGTAGTTCTCTCTCTCTCTCTCTATCTCTCTCTATCTCTCTCTATCTCTCTCTATCTCTATCTCTCTCTCTATCTCTATCTCTATCTCTCTCTCTCTATCTCTATCTCTATCTCTCTATCTCTCTCTCTATCTCTCTATCTATCTCTCTATCTCTATCTCTATCTCTATCTCTATCTCTCTCTCTCTCTCTCTCTCTCTCTCTCTCTCTCTCCACTGCTGGCTCAATGCTTTCGCTGAGATGCTCTGCTTCGCTGACAGGATGTTTTATAAGGTACTTCCTGCCGTCTCTGCCAGCTACAGCTTCATTTAAATGTCTATGTTGTTCTTTATACGAGGATTGATTCAAGAAAACGTCCCTGCCCACTGCGATAACTCTCTATAACAAATCTCCTCTGGCTGGAAGAGAACTCTCCGCTCCATAGTTTCTCTTTCTGGACTTAAACTCTTTACTTTATTATTTGCCCCGTTAGTTGTTTGTTTGTTCCCCCTGTAAAGCGGCCTTGAAAGGCGCTATACAAATATAATCTATTATTATTAAACTCACACATTTTACATTGATATTCAATCTAATATGTAATATTCCATTCCTCTCATACTTATGTATATATCCTGCTTTATATTGTGTTACTGTAAATAATATGTAATTCAACATTTATATTTTCTGCTTTTTTTAATGCCATTTTATTTCTATTGAGATGTTTGGATTTAGGATCGTTTATTTCTACGTGTAGGAGCCAATTACCTGCAGGTATAAAGGGAGGAACCTGTGTGTGTGCTGGGGAGGGGTTCTGCCGGAAGGCCCATACAGTTTTTGACCACACACGGAGAACACACACACAAGGAGCACACACACACAAGGAGAACACACACACACACGGAGAACACACTCACAAGGAGCACACACACACAAGGAGAACACACACACACACACACACACACACACACACACACACGGAGAACACACACACAAGGAGCACACAAGGAGCACACACGGAGAACACACTCACAAGGAGCACACACGGAGAACACACACACACACACACAGAGAACACACACACACACGGAGAACACACACACACACGGAGACCACACTCACAAGGAGCACACACGGAGAACACACTCACAAGGAGCACACACGGAGAACACACACACACACACGGAGAACACACACACACACACACACACGGAGAACACACACACAAGGAGCACACACGGAGAACACACACACACACACACGGAGAACACACTCACAAGGAGCACACACACACAAGGAGCACACACGGAGAACACACTCACACACGGAGAACACACACACACACGGAGAACACACACACACACGGAGAACACACACACAAGGAGCACACACTCACAAGGAGCACACACACTCACAAGGAGCACACACACACGGAGAACGCACACACAAGGAGCACACACACACACAGAGAACACACACACAAGGAGCACACACACACACACGGAGAACGCACACACAAGGAGAACACACACACAAGGAGCACACACGGAGAACACACACACACACACGGAGAACACACACACAGGATTACAAAGCAAAGGTATTGTGTAAACGGTAATATCGTGTGATGAATATTGAAAGAAGCAAGTCAATGGAAATAAATGGACTGTGCGTCAATTCCACCCAGCGGATCCTCAGAGGCTTAAAGCGTTGGCTTCGCCTCTACGCTACTGTTTAAATTGTTATTGTACAGTGCCTTGTATTTTTATGCTGCTGCAACACAAACACTTCCCAAATTGGGATCAATAAAGTATTTCTTATCTTAATATCTTATACTTGACTAATTGTGATTGCACCTCCCAGGATTGGTGGAACTCGACCTCTTTTGCTAACTACTACCGCACCTGGAACGTAGTGGTGCACGACTGGCTGTACTACTACGTGTACCGCGACATCCTGTGGGTGAGTACAAATACATATTATAAAGAATGACGGCTCTACTCCAGAAAGATTACAATAGATCAGGATCCCTGACTTCCATCTATTTGTAATCTCGCTTTCTACTTTATCTAAATAGTTATCAGCGCAATAAACCGTATTTAATTCTGTCTTAATGAACATTATTTAATTTCATATTCTGAAATATTAAAGGTATGGTAAAACTACTAACTACTGTTTTTAATGAAGGGACTGTACTGTTTTTTTTATTAGTTAATTTATTGAACATTAATAATAACAATAAAGAAACAAAATAAAAACTTTTAAGGTATAAAAAGTAAATTCTCAAATAGTGTCCGTCATGTTCAAAAGGGTCGAGAAGAAGCTTCAACACGTTCCTGGTCCTCCTCTAGCGTACATTGTTCATGAAAATAGAACTTCAGGTCATCGTCATCAGCATCCGTGATATTTGATCCATTGTTTATGAATGTTTTGCTAATTGTGCAAAAATATGAGCCCTAATGACTCCTCTGTCCTCTCTTGTGTTTCTCCAGATGTCTCAGAAGCGCTTCAGACCGGCGGCCATGTTGTTTGTGTTCACGGTTTCTGCCGTCGTGCACGAGTACATCCTCGCCATCTGCTTCGGCTTCTTCTACCCCGTCCTCTTCTGCCTCTTCATGTGCTTCGGAAGTAAGAGACAACTCATCTCTCTCCACTCTCTTATCATTGCATGTCAGTCACCATAAATGGCTGGTCGAACTCAGTCCCTCTGCATTTATCTTAATACCGTATCGACTCGAATATTAGACGACGCCTCTTTTTCAAAACTCATTTTTGGAGCAAATCTTGTTTTTATAAAGAAAACTACACATTGTGTTCAAATGTGCCGTCGCTTGGGGGGACACTCGTTTGGCGCCATCTGTTGTTGTGACTGTAATTACATCGAAAAGTCTAGAGCTGACATCCTCGTGGATTCATCTTCTTATTACAGACACATGCATTTCCTAACATTCGGTCTATATGCTGTAAAATGTATTATCTCTTGGATTTACACACGGCATCTATTGCACGTCTGTCCGTCCTGGGAGAGTGATCCCTCCTCTGTTGCTCTCCCTGAGGTTTCTCCCATGTTCCCTTTAAACTGTGGGTTTTCTCTGGAAGTGTTTCCTTGTACGATCTGAGGGTCTAAGGACAGAGGGTCTGAGGATAGAGGGTCTGAGGACAGAGGGTCTGAGGACAGAGGCTCTAAAGACGGAGGGTCTGAGGACAGAGGGTCTAAGGGCAGAGGGTCTGAGGACAGAGGGTCTAAGGACAGAGGGTCTGAAGACAGAGGGTCTAAGGACAGAGGGTCTGAAGACAGAGGGTCTAAGGGCAGAGGGTCTGAGGACAGAGGGTCTAAGGACAGAGGGTCTGAAGACAGAGGGTCTGAGGACAGAGGGTCTGAGGACAGAGGCTATAAAGACGGAGGGTCTGAGGACAGAGGGTCTGAGGACAGAGGGTCTAAGGACAGAGTTGTCTGAGGACAGAGGGTCTAAGGACAGAGGGTCTGAGGGCAGAGGGTCTGAGGACAGAGTTGTCTGAGGACAGAGGGTCTGAGGACAGAGGGTCTGAGGACAGAGGGTCTAAGGACAGAGGGTGTCATTTTTCTCATACTGATATTCTGAACAATCTGTGTTGTTGTATTTGCTGTAAAGTGTCTCTACTGTAGGCTATTTTTATTTTATGTTCAGCACTTTGGCTCCACCAGAGATCGTTTATAAATGTGCTATATAAATAAAACTTGATTTGATTTGATTTAGAACCCGAATATAAGTTGACGAAAGAAACCCATCTTATATTCGGGTCAATACGGTAATATACTCGCTCTCTCTCGCAGTGATGTTCAACTTCATCCTGCACGACCGGAGGAAAGGTCCCATCTGGAACGTGATCATGTGGACGTCTCTGTTCCTCGGTCAGGGGGTCATCCTCTGCCTCTACTCTCAGGAGTGGTACGCCCAGCAGTACTGCCCTCTGACGGAGGTAACACCTGCAGGAGCACTTTAACACTTTAAACCAGAATTTGACTTTTTATCTTCAAAATGTGCCTTTTTTCTTATAATTTGACTTTTTTCTCAGGATTTACTTTTTTTTCTCAAAACGTGAATTTTTTGCTTCAAAATGTGGCATTTTTCTCAGAATTTGACCCAAAAAAAAATCATTTTGTGACATTCTCACTGAAGAGACTTCTGCTTTCAGACGTAGTTATTTATGAAGTTATTACCCTACCTGATAATAATCCAATGCAGAGGCAATCATGTAATATATAATACATTATTTTATATCTTAACCCTTATGTTGCGATCGGGTCTCCCGTGACCCGTTTCAAGTTCAAATGATATAATAACTTTGTATCGGAACAAGGCTTCATATTGAAGGCGGTGGTGGCGAAGTCGATAGCGACTTGGCTTGGCAACTGGAAGGTCACCAGTTCAAGTCCTGGCAAGACCAAGTGCTACCGAGGTGTCCCTGAGCAAGTGTTCCCCACACTGCTCCCCGGGCGCCGTTCAAAATGGCAGCACACTGCTCCTAACACTGGATGGGTCAAATGCAGAGAAACAATTTCCCCATGAGGATTAATAAAGTATATCAAAATCAAAAAAAAAATCCTCCACAACAGCTAAACACTACAAAACTGATTTTGAAAATGTTTGCCAGATCTGAAGGTCTCTAAAAAAAAAAGTGTATCATTTGGTGTTGGGGTCTGGGGAGACCCAGCAGAATTGTTGTGGGTGACTCGGGGTCAATTTGGTCCAATCAAGATTCATCTTCAACTGTAACAATCATTTTTCGCAACATGCACCTGGTCTCCCCTCCCTCTGCCCCCCCCCCCCCCCTCCCTCCCCCCCCCCCCCCCACGGGAACTCCACCTTTCTCAAAGAATATTAACACTTGAACCTGAAAACATTATGCACGTGTGCAATGTGTGGTGTGATGTGTTTTGGGCCATAACATTAAATGACAACAGGATTGTACGGTTATGAAAGCATTATAAGTTAGTTATGATGTAGTTAAAACAATATTGGATGATAGTCATCACATAGATTCGGTGTGTTTTGGACTGAAATAAATCATGGGTCAAAATGTACCCGCGAACGCCATGAACGGTAACAGCTTTCGAACACAACACAACGGTTAAATATTATATATGTATTTTTATATAGTCTTAGTTACAACCGGTCCCTTTCAGTGCAACCATAATGCTGATGTGGCCCGCGATGAAATTGAGTTTGACCCCCCCTGACCTAAACTCTCAGATGCTCCTTATTGGGGAGAGCAGAGACAAAGTTGGGTCTCAGGACGTCATGAAACTGTAGAAATTATTTTTTCCCTCCAAACAATCACAGATCTGAGGGCATAAACGCAGCACGTACTGTATGTGTACAAGTGTCCTACGTGTATGACATTTGGTGGGTATATGTAACACATGGAGAAGAACAAAAAACTATATCGGAGCGTGTCCCTAAACCCAACAGGAAGTCGGCCATGTTGAATTTAACAGCATTTCTTTACCGTATTTTAACAAATTCCTTGTACAGAATTTCAAATGTGTTCAATAACATCTTACGACATTGAGGGACAATATTGTATTAAAATCATTCGTCTACATCAACCACCCTGCAAAACAGACGATGAAAATGACATTGTGTTATTACCATTTACTAGTTAGTCCATGCTCCAACTGTCCCTGCATAACCACAGCTGTACCAATCATCCAATCAGTAGCCTCGATATGTGTCGATGTCCAAGGACTTGTTTATATAGTAAGTTGCTGTTCTAAGAACCAGTTATATCCCTGAACCAAACAACAATAGAACATGAACAGCTGAATATGAGTGTTAGCTTTGCCAACCTCGAGCCTGGACACAAATTGAGTTTCATGTGATTTTTTGTATTTTTTTCAGCCTTCATTCTTGGAGTTGTTGAAGCCTCGCTCGTGGAGCTGTCACAGAGATGCTGGACTCTGATTGGCTGTGATCCACGTGTTCACTGCCTCTGTCTTACTGTCTGTTCTCTCCAGTTTAATTTACATGTGTCTGTGCAGGCCCGGTTCTACGGGGGTGCACAGACATGCATTGCACCCCCAGTTGAATGTTATCCACCCTCTATTCAAAAAAGAGAAGGGAGCGAACAACAATAATAGAATACAAAACAGATCGTCAGGTGACCTGCTCCGCTGCGCTTGCATCATTTCCAAAGTGCTTCCACAGCAGTGACACACATCTGTGGATAATCATTTATACGAAAATGGTTAAAGCAACCATCACTAAACGCCAGCACCACTGCATCTACTACAGACCGTAGCAACCGGTCAGATGGGGACGTGGACACTAGCGTACTCCCGCCGCCCTCGCCCCGGAGCAGCAGTCCTCGTCGCCCCAAACAATGCCGCAGGTGCAAAGGGACCACGGCGAAACAGAGCCTGCCCAGGTCTAAACAAGTACCCGCCTGTGCAGTGGGGTTAGGCGATCATTTTGCAGCTCGTGGTATAAAAATAAAGGGCTAGAATATTCATGTGAAAATAGATTCATATTCTGCCTGTAGAAATGTTGGGTCAAACATAATGCAACCAATAGCACAGATCCTTCACCACGAATGGCTACAAACATCTCATATCCCAAGCTTATCAACGAGCTGATGTTGCAGCTGAAATGTTCTCCAGGTCACAAAGTCACATGATGTGATACTAGTTTTCAAGCACAGTAAATATTCTCTTCCCAGAGTATCTGATGGGACCATGGTGATGATTTAGTACATGGTTTTAATACTTTTGCCTTTCAATGTTTGCCATTTCAAACCATGAGCTGGATCAAATCCTATTTGTATCACAGTTTTGAAGCTGTTGTGCTTTTCTTTGCCACAGTCCACTTTGGACTATATGAGATATTTCAGGATTACACTTTTAACTTGACATGTTCTCACTTGCTTGGTTTCAAAGCATAACAAAGGCCATAATCTGTTCATTGGGACCATCAATGCTATTTCTCATTGCTGTTGCCACTATTGCTCATGTAAACCTGCTGCTGCTGCGCCCCCTGTAACCTCAGAGGCACCCTGAGTCATGTTGCTCTGCGCCCCGGGTCATGTGTCTGTGTATGAACGTGTGGAAGAGATCAATAATGTGCCAACATGTTCTTTACTCCAGCAGCAAAGTCACAGCGATGCCTTACTCTCCTGTTTTATGTCTTCAAAATCATCCCAACACACTGACACGCTCACATTTAATCACATGTGAGCTTGTATTTGATTTCCAGATGCATTTCCTTTATGTTCGCCTCGATCAGCTGTGAAACCTCTCCTTGTGCCAATATGATGCTAACAGGAAATACAAACCTCGCTCACCGTGTGCAGTTACTCCTGTATTACAGATAACGTTCAGTATGTTGAGAATGTTATTTATTTTCACCGCCAAATAGATTTATTTTGGATAAGAACGGCCGCTGTTTGGTGTTGTTTAAATTCATGAGAGACTGCAGAAGATTTGTCTGAAAAGGAAAAGGAAGGTGAGTTTGAAAAGGTTGGGACATGATTGTATAATGGAGATGGAAACTAAATGGAGATGGAAACTATGCGGAGTTAAGTTCATGAAGTCTGACAGCTGAATGTATTTGTAATCATCCCGATATTTTTCATTGAACTGGTTTGAACATGAATTTAGCTTCAGAGATAATTCCCTTTTAATCTGAAAGATGTTCTGTTTTGGGGACTTGTGTGCAGGTGAAGCACAATCATTTAATACTGCAATTGAACTTAAATAGGATACTTGCACTGAGAGCTTCAGATTGTATTGAGATATTCAGCACATGCAGTCCGACAGGGTTTTGTTTCAATCATAACACTCGTTTCCATGTGGAACTAAAGGAATGCTTGTGATCATTAGGTCATGCTGTCTTGTGAGTACGTCTCAAAGGTAATGCACAGTTGATGTCACTAAAATACTGACACAGCAGGGAGAGCGAAAGATAATGTGTTTACATGTGTGAATGATGAGATGCACAATTAAGAAATAACTCTGCACTTTCAAAAACGGTGACCACAAGGTGGCGCTGCAGTAAAGCTTTACTTTGATGCCTCTGCTCACGGAGAGGCTTCCCCAGAGTCATCATAATATATTACCAAACAACTACCAGCTACTTGTTTGTATATGTACAGATAACAGAATGATTGGGCTACCCTGTACTACTAAGTAACTCCTGACAAGTCCCTTTATCTTGAAATTGAGATTCAGGGAAAAACTTAAAAGAGCCAACCTGTTTATTGAAATGATTTATTTATATTCTGTCATATATGTGTCCTGTGAACTCATTATGAATCAGTTTGAAAAGTGTCTGATACATTTTGTAAAGACTCGACAAAGTGTAAGAACTCAAGAATAAAAAATGGAATATGTTGCCTTAACTTGTTTTGTATTATACATGTTGTATATAATGGTCATTGTGCCAACTTAATGGTATTGATACAGTTTTTAATTAGATGTTTTAGACCACATGTGTCAAACTCGAGGCCCGGGGGCCAAATCAGGCCCTTGGTGGATCTAATTTCGGCCCGCAGGATAATTTCTAATTCCTATTAGATCTGGCCCTCCGGTATATTGCACACACACCTTCCTCCATCCTGAGGGTCTCCTCAGCTCAGAGCCTGAGCCCAAACATTGATGACCTTGCACCCAAGATGAGATGCCAAGTATCTGAACTAGCATCACAGAGCAGCACTGAGTTCAATGGATGCTTCCTTCTGCACTTTCTTTCTTGAGACAACAGGGCATGTTTGGTTTTCTTTTGAAGCTGTTGTTGGCCTGTGGGAAAATGTAATCATAAGAGGGACTTTCACACACTTCTGTTATATGAATAAACATATTGCACACATGTATACATGCTATACAGTTTTATTACTTCATATCAAGGCTCGTTTTTCTTTTTTTAAAGTGTTTTTTAAAGCTTTTTGGGGGCATTTCCCCCAAAGTGCGCAGGGACCACCTCGGTTAATAAATCACTAGGATTTGACTTATTGGGGTATGTTTTACAAGTCAGTCAGAATACAGTCACAGTGCTTAATGAAGGACTTTCACACATTTCTGCTATATTAATAACATATTACACACATTTATACACGCTATACAGTTTTATAATGCAGAATATATATTACAAAAAATACATTGGAGCTTTATTGACAAAATTAAGCAGTGGCAAATTGATATACAAAAATCTTACTGATTCTAAATTATATATAAACATTAAACAGATCTACTTAATTACACGTCCGAAAAGGGGTGGGAAGAAGCGTACACTTATTTAATCCCTTCTCCCAAAAACGACATTAACATATAAATATCTATCTATAAGGAACGTTTTTCTGTCTAAAAAGTGATTTTCAAAGCTTTTTTGGAGCATTTGTTCCCCTTAACTTTGCCTGGATCACTTCGGTCCTGATGGACCCGGTGCTCCGGTGCTCGTTGGGACCCGGTAGAGTCCCGGATCCCGGTGACAGGGACCCGAACCCCCGCCTCCTGGAACACATATTCTGTTCTGCGGTAAAGATGGCGGCGTCAGAGGGGGCGCGGAGCGGCCGGACAGCGGCAAAAAGAGCCTGAAAAAGCTCCACAATTGGCCGAATATCGTTCGCCAGGTACCGGTAATATCAGCTCGGATACCGTCTGGACCACAGGGAGAAACACAGCCGCTGTCACCCGCAGGGGGTTGTGATTTTATTGTTAAAAGGCAGGGTGGGTGGGTTTCACCGAGAGATGCTAACGGGCTAGCCCACTGAGCTAACACAGACTAGCCCGCCGAGCTAACAGAGACTAGCCCACTGAGCTAACACAGGCTAGCACACGGAGCTAACAGAGACTAGCCCACGGAGCTAACACAGGCTAGCAAGCTCCGTGGAGAAGAGCGGAGAGGAGGGGGGAGAGAGGAAGACTATTCGGGCCAGGCCGCTCCAGCTCTGAGGGGAATGTGAACCAGAGGTGTGCAGGGGGGGTTTGCTCGCTTCACTACCGGGATGGGACAGCAGGTCGGACGGGTCGGTGAGAGCACATCGACCGGAGGACTGCAGCCGCCGCAGCCCCACGCGTCCCAGCCGCACCAAGGGAAGGGGAACCGGGGGAGGAGACCCCGAGAACCGGACAGTATCACCGGGACACCGCCGGGCAGGACGGCCGCAGTCAACGTGCCCGACCCGGGGATCAATATATTCACTCTGCATTCAGGTAACAAGATAACCACGTGTTTAAAGACAGGTGTTGGGGATTTACTTTGATGTGTTTTCATTAGGCTAGCTGAGACCATGCTAGTTTGACGCGTTAGCGGAAACAGCCAGCATTAGCTTCCACTGTCTCATCCATGTTAATATATGTGTGTGAGAGTTTGTTAGTGTGTATGAGGACAAGAGGCCGTAGTAAATCACAGGATGGTTTTTTAAATGGCTGTGATTTGACACTGTGTGCTGGAGCTGCATGTGACCAGCTGTTCCCCAAAAGAGAGACACTGTTTTTGGGAAAGAGGAAGAGTCTCTGCGGGGTCATGGCTGGAGGTTAAGCTGCTTTGTGCAGAGGTGGAGAAGTACTCAGATCTGGTACTTGAGTAAAAGTAGAAGTACTCAGATCTTGTAGTAAAAGTAGAAGTACTCAGATCTTGTACTTGAGTAAAAGTAGAAGTACTCAGATCTTGTTCTTGAGTGAAAGTAGAAGTACTCAGATCTTGTACTTGAGTGAAAGTAGAAGTACTCAGATCTTGTACTTGAGTAAAAGTAGAAGTACTCAGATCTTGTTCTTGAGTAAAAGTAGAAGTACTCAGATCTTGTAGTAAAAGTAGAAGTACTCAGATCTTGTAGTAAAAGTAGAAGTACTCAGATCTTGTACTTGAGTAAAAGTAGAAGTACCAGAGTGTAGGAATACTCTGTTTCAGTAAAAGTCCTGTATTCAAAATGTTCCTCAAGTGAAAGTAGAAAAGTATTCTCATCCAAATATAGTGAAAGTAGCGA